AGGAGGAGGAGGGAGGAGGAGGTCGAAGGAGGAGGAGGAGGAGAAGGAGAAGGAGGAGGAGAAGGTGCAGGAGGAGGAGGAGAAGAAGGAGTAGGAGTAGGAGTAGGAGGAGAAGGGGCAGGAGAAGGAGTAGGAGGAGGAGTAGGAGGAGGAGTAGGAGGAAACGGAGTAGGAGAAGGAGTAGGAGGAGGTGTATGAGGAGGAGGAGTAGGAGGAGAAGGAGCAGGAGGAGGAGAAGGAGCAGGAGGAGGAGAAGGAGAAGGAGGAGGAGAAGGAGCAGGAGGAGGAGAAGGAAAAGGAGGAGGAGAAGGAGTAGAAGGAGTAGGAGTAGGAGGAGGAGTAGGAGGAGAAGGGGCAGGAGAAGGAGTAGGAGGAGGAATAGGAGGAGGAGTAGGAGGAAAAGGAGTAGGAGAAGGAGTAGGAGGAGGTGGAGGAGGAGGAGTAGGAGGAGAAGGAGCAGGAGGAGGAGAAGGAGCAGCAGGAGGAGAAGGAGAAGGAGGATGAGGAGGAGGAGGAAGAGGATCATCATCATCATCATCATCATCGTCATCATAACCATAGAGCATGCAACTCATGACTGGTGCTGTGTTTGAACACCCAATACATGAAAGACTCCATGAAGCATTATTGTACAGAGGGTCCATGCTTTGGAACATGTTGACTGGCAAATATAGTGACTTCTCAGAAATCCATGCAGTAATCCATGCTATAAAGTTCTAAGAAAGTTTAAACCCTCAGACACTTAATGATTCGATGTTAACGTTACATTGGCCAGCTCAACACTCAACAATTTTGTGTGATACTAATCTATATGAAAAATTATTAATTTGCTGCACAATTTCTCAAAAAATTTTAGTACATAGTCATTACATTAACCTTGAAGTTGAGAATACTGATATTTTATCAACAGTACATTATTCTTTTTAAAACAATTATGTCTAATTTTTATCTGTGGTAGATCTCATGTCACAATTCCACAAACTCTTAGGTTTTATACACACATGTGTCAGGTCTAATCTTATACCCAAACCTTACTCTGTTTGGCATGGGACATCTGGGTCCAAGATTATGTCTCTAGCAGCAAAAGCTATGTATCTACACGTACTGTACATAACTAGCGTACACACCTTCTTCCTTGTTTTTCTGGATTTCAAGCAGCATTTCAGAAAATCCTCTAGAATGCCTTTAATGAAGTTCAACACAATAAAACACCACTTACACAAAGTTCTTAAATTGTTTGTAATTCCAGAATGAAATGTATCCAGATATAAAATACCACCCTATTTCCCAAGTGGGAAGAAGGAATTAATGGTCACAATAATTGTTAAAAATCTACTTACCAAACCTTGAGAAGCTTTTTGTAAATACTTTCTTCTTTCTGTACCATTGTGTTCCATTCTTGATCAGATGGCCTTAACAAGCTATTCCCAGTCTTTATGCTCTCTGTTTTTATATTGATTAAGGGATACTTAATTCCCTGTTGGTATATGAATTGACAAAAAAGCTGTCAGCTTTAAGATTGTGATATCCCAGGCTATCAAGATCGACATTGTCAGTGATTATGTAATGTCACTTAAGCACACAGTTGTGACATTTCAGGCTAAGACCCAGGCCAAACATCCAACTTCGCATAAGACAAACTTCAACTGAGCAAATTAAGTTCATGATAAGTTCGATGTTTGACTCAACTGAATTTGTCCGACTCAATTCAGATCAGCCAACACATTTTTTAAAAAAATTTATGATATGTTTAATTTTTATCAGTTATTGATCTCACGTCACAACTCCACAAGTTCTTAGCTTTTATACATACACGTATTAGGTCTAATCTCATACCTAAACCTCAAAATTGGGGGTATGGGAGATCTGGGTTCCAAGATTCAACAGACAGATAGAACATGTTGGTCAATCTAAGTTTGAATTAAGTTCTACATCTGACCCAACAGTTGACCTTCACCCATTTGGATTAACTCAAATTGCAATTTAATTAGTTTGTGTCATGTGGAGTTGTACATTTGGCCTGGGCCTAATTGCGGGAGGATAGTAGGATGGATTGGTCTTTTTTCTGGGGGGAGGGGGAGATGGGATCAGATTCAGGATGTCTTGGGTACAGAATTTTGGGTAGGACGAAATTGTAACAAACGCTGATAAACCCTCATACTGTCTCAGACAAAAATAACCCTTCTTTTCGCTGCTATAAGTTAACTAAAATAAATAAGCTTATTAATAAGCTTATTAAAGTTTATCCCACATGTATGTACGTTTACATTACAAGACCGCGACCATGAAAACAATTAATATATTTTGTACCTGAGTAGCAGGAACATGTTTCGATAACTCTGCAGTCTTGGAACTTTCAGCGATCAGTCTGGCATTCATCTCACATAAGGTTATCTCTCCTTCGGCGGGAGGAGGCGGAAAAACGGACAACGAAGACATCTGATTGGCAACAGAATGTACTTTCCGTCCCGATCAAAACTTCCGCAGTTGAAAGATGGCGGGAAGGTCTTACTTTACTGCCAGGCGTTCCAAACGGACGGGGGAGACTGGAAACAGTGGGTGTTTTGGCGGGGAAAGCGCGAGAAAATGATATTTTATGCGAATGCACGGGAATTACGGGAAAATATCTGCATGTTCGGGTGATACGATTGGTGTAATTTCTTAGAAATAGTAAGACAGAAATGTCTCAAGCTAATGGCCGCGAAGGAGATGAATGCATCGCAGTTTTTCAAGCATTTCTTGAAGAGCACCACAGGGAAGACATCACGAGCGTTCTTGTCGCTGACGATCCTACTGGCCAGTATTGTGTCGTGGTGAACGCATTAGAACTGTTTGATTCCAACATCGAGGTCAGCCAAAAACTGCTAGCAGCTCCGAACAAGATGTTGCCTTTGTTTGACGGCGCTCTAGCCCAGGCGGCTGTGTCCATTATGCAGGAAAATGCAACGCAGATGTCCATGTCGTTCAAGTCGCATTTACACGTGAGGTTGTCTAACCTTCCGATCTGTCCTGAACTTCGCAGAGATAAGATTCCCAAGACGTCAGACATCGGCAGATTTCTTGCTCTTTCAGGTGGGGTAACCGGTTGGTCAGGAGCGGTTGGGTTCCATGGGTTATTTTATCCCCCGGCCTCCCCCTCCCCTCTTTCTCACCTGACCTACGGCTGACTCAAAGGCCCAGGGTGCTCTCCATTATGCTGAAAATTCCGGTCGGAAGTCAAATAGAAAGGGCCGTTTCGGTTCAATCCGACCGGAATACTTGGAAACACCTCTAGAGGTGGTCCAGTTTGACCGGTTGAACTTGTTGGAGCTAAATTTGCTGTTCGATTTTAACAGACCGGATTGTTACCCTACTTCTTTAAAGTAGATTTTCACTTTATGTGGTTGACTCGGGAAAGGAACAAAATTGTAAGAGCCATTTTTCTTGGTTGGCCCAGTTTGATTGGAAAATGTCGTTCCATTTTCCTCGGTTAGACCTGCTGGTACCTAACCTGTCGGCCTGGCATAATGGAAAGCATCCTTAATGTTTGCTGTCTCCAGCAAAGTAACGGAACCAAGGGAGGGAACCCCTTGCCCTTTATTTCCGTCTTTCTGTCTTAAAAACATAAGGCCTCAAGAAAAGAGGGGGTTGAAGAGGTAAAATGGGAATTGGAATCTGTCTCTTTTTTCAATTGGAAAATGACATTTAGGTCACTTGGACTAGAAATCACAAACAAAGAATGGGAATGGGACTGGGATTTGAGAAAAAAATTTGGGTTGAGAAATGAGATTTATAGCGCCCCCCCCTCTTCGCTACTTTGGTGCTCTTATGGTTAGTGCATGTGACTCTGGATCGAGCAGTCCAGGTTTGAGTCCTGGCCGGGGACATTGTATTCAGTTTGTGGGCAAGACACTTTACTCATCCAGGGGGGATTAGAAATATCCCTAGTTGCTTCATGCTACAGAAACCGGAATATGCTCCTTTCCTGATGGGCCACTTGTCTTGTGTGCAGACTTTACTTACCTTACCCCTTCCCTACCCATCCCTTCAGGATCTTTGTCATAATTTGTAGTGCTGTATGTGTAACCAAACAGCTGGGGTTTTTATGAGCCAGATATGTCGATCTTGTATGTCGATACGTGCTAAAATCAATTACACTGTCCTTCATTTATCTTTAGGTACTGTCATCAGAGTATCAACAGTAAAGNGCTACCTTGCCTCCCATTAGTGCTGTCATTAGAGTTCTCTATTGATCAAAAAAATTAAATGCCTGTTTAGAAACTGAAGTGGACCCTGAAGTTGACTACTGTCTTGCTTTAAAGACACAGCTATAAGTGTTGGGGCATTTGGTTAGCAATTGCATTATATACACATTAAATGTTTGAAGTTTCTGTGACAAGGTTGCTGCTTAAATTGTGGCTGGAAATTCCCTGTAAATGATGTCCTCTCTTGATTAATCATTGCCTTCCTTGGCAAGTTCTTAGTTTTGCAAATTTTACCTTTTGTGTAAAACATGTACCATCCTGTTAACACAGTCTTGCATCCATTGATAATTCTGCAGAGTCGCTGTGACCTTGAAGTTGTTCTCAAGGCAAATCACTTGTCTGTCAACAATGAGCAAAGAGCTGGCGTTCTTGTCACTGAAGAACTGAAGCGAGAGTTTGCCGAGTTTTGGGGGAGATATAAAGATGCCCCCCTCCAAGGTAGAAACCACATTCTCTCCAGCTTTTGTCCGCAGGTTTATGGCTTGTATGCTGTTAAACTTGCGGTTGCCTTGGTTCTCATCGGTGGTGTGCAGAGAGTGGATGCTTCTGGGACCCGGGTGAGGGGAGAGTCGCATTTGCTGTTGGTTGGAGACCCAGGTGAGTGATGCATCCACAGGTAACGAATGGGTGTTGTCTTTCTTATTAGATCAGATCTGCCTCAACTGAAGATGCCGATCTTGGAGTGTGTCCGCACTCAGCCAAAGTCACCCAATTCAGAAACTAGGAATATTGCCACTTTCTCTAGATGGTAGGGAAGTCCATTGACTATTGGTCACCTCCCTCCCCTTCTCTCACACCAGACTGGCACAAAACTTTGCAAGTACCCACCTGGGGCAGGGGGAGGCATTGTGAGAGTAAAGTGTACCTTCCATGCCTAGCTCGAGAAGACAACATGGTGACCCAGGTCACAGTTATCTATATACTAAATCTGTAAATGGTTAAATTTGCATTCAGGTACAGGAAAATCTCAGTTCCTAAAGTATGCGGCCAAAATCATACCTCGTTCAGTCTTGACTACTGGAATCGGTTCAACTAGTGCTGGGCTGACTGTGGCCGCTGTGAGAGACTCAGGAGAGTGGCAGCTTGAAGCTGGGGCCTTGGTTTTAGCAGATGGTGGCCTGTGCTGTATTGACGAGTTTAACAGTATCCAAGAACATGACAGAACATGTGAGGACAATTTTATAAACAGTCAAAGCATCTGCATTAAATGACATTGCGATTTAGAAATCTCCCTGTAAGTTGCGAACACTAAAAGGCATTTCATATTTTTGTTAGCAAACTGATTGCACAGGCAAAGAGAATTGTTATTTTGATAAACAAGACTGTGGACTTTCCCTCCTGGTGTTTTCTAAAAGAAATAGGACAATCTNACGGTCTGCTAAACTTCAAATGTTTGATGGCCAATCATGCCACGTTTGCCACCCAATTAGAGCATGTTTCGGCGTCACGTGTTCACACTTAGATGCAAGCGAACATTTGTTTTGTAGTATTTTTTGCTCGCCCATCATTTCAATTTTCTCATCCCTTCTTTTCTCCCCATCCCACTCTCCACCTCCTCCACAGTACAGATGAAGTTCTTGCTCCAGTTTTCTTCAAGCTCCCACCCTTAAACCATTCGGCAGGAATGAGAAGCAGCTGTTCTCACGGACAGTGTACACTGTAGTTCCAAGAAGCAAACTCGTTTGTTTTTCAGGTATTCATGAAGCTATGGAGCAACAGACGATCAGTGTAGCTAAAGCAGGAATGGTTTGCAAACTCAGCACAAGAACAACAATTTTGGCAGCCACGAATCCCAAAGGGCCGTACGACCCTTCTGAATGTCTTAGTGTAAACATTGCCGTGGCGAGTCCGTTGTTAAGCAGATTTGATCTCCTTCTGGTCTTACATGATGCCAGAAATGAAGAGTGGGATAGGTGCGGTAATATTAAGCAGTAACTTAATAAGTTTGGACTGTTGCAATGCTTAGCTAATGTTTAAACACACAAAAATTCTTAGCTGGTGTTCTTTCAATAATGTTTTGAAAGCACTTTTCCACGTTGCATTTGTTTGGTTGTTTTTGCCTGTTTGTGTTTTTTTTGTTTT